CTTACCGTTCCCGTTCCAAAACACAAAACACCTTCTAATTAAGTACCTTGTTATGAACGGTTTTCTAAGCACAACTGCGTTCTCCATAATACCGTTGGAACACGCTACCTTTTAGAATAAAATGTAGGGAAGAGGCGTTTTCTAATTCCCTGGGTGTGGCTAAAATTCACTGGAGACACATGTACATCAAGGCATTATCCGCAGGTTGATGAATGCCATTATTCTTACTACATGTCTGCTTTAAAAACACTTTCACAACGAACGGATATCCTAAGGAGAAATTAGGAGCTGATCACTCCTAAGAAATCGATTTAACAAAATTACAATATCGCGTAAGCTTCAAACTTACAAGTTCCGTTCGGCGTTTATTTAAAATCATCTTCTTTTTTTCCAGTTCCTAAGAGCAGAAAACGAAAGATAGTTTAGCCCTGAAATATTGGTTGTTCACCAGGAGCCATTATGGCTCCTGTTGTTCACCTTTTGTACAAATGTCTTTAAAGGATCAAATTCAAACTAGCCCTTACCGACATGGCATATTCGCTCCTTTTCGGTTGTGTTAACAGTCTTTTCTGTGCCTCTGCTTTTTCAGCCGCAATGCCCCGTCTTTTGTCGCTTGCTCTGAAATAATATAAGAGAATCATATGCGACTTGACCTCTCCATTCTCAATTCAAAGGATAGTTGGAAATATTTGTTTTTACTATTTTCTGCGAAAAAATACTGTTACATCAGCTTCCATCAATACATTTAGAGACGAACAAAGTCGATTTGGATCGGAAGAACTCGACTCTTGAGGTCAACATTGAAAAGAAAAGAGTGGCCGCGTAATCAAGTAAGTGAACTCTTGCTTCATTTCATTTGTACAAGGTATATAATTTTCAACGCAACGTACCTAAGGAACATTTCGAAAGAAAATTCTGCCTCACTCGCTTTTCACTTGTTCCCTTCAATTCAAACTTTCCCGCCTTTTCAAGCCATCGCTTCGTTTAGATTAAACTGAAATATCCACATCATCCAGTCGACAGTAGAATTTAATAAAACAGTTACTCCATTGGTAATCATCTTTGTTGGATAAGAGATAATTAAGCTAGTAAAAATATCGAAGCAATGCCCCTCGTTCTTCCAGGAACAAGTTGGCAAGCGATCCTTCCTGTAATATTTCCCGGGAATATTTCTCCTGAAGTTAAAAAATACCTGATATTTAGCAACTTCAGTGCGTCACATAGCGCTCCTCCTTTTATTTCACTATCCAGTTTGGTGTCAGTGCCAAAGCTAGGTGAACGATTTACCTGCGTAAAAATTTGACCATGTTCATGACACTGATAACTGTGTGCTACTTATAGCCCGCACGAATACCCCCACACCCTCCCCCCCTCCCGCAACCCTCCGAAAATTCACTGAGCCGCAATTTTCGGTGGGAATGACCGGACAAGTAAAGTTGTCGTGATAACTTTCGTAGAGCTCAGGTTAGTTCTGATTGGACAAAACCAATCGGAAACTCTTCGGCGACTTTTACGATCCCGGCTATCGCGGAGATAATACGTCACGATGTAACGATGGCGTCATCCAAAATGGCTGCCCATTGACTCGCGTCTGCAAAATTTATGACTTTTTACAGGCGTTTAGGTGAAAACAGAGAGCTGTTATTATCACAAAAAAGAAAGTAAAAGAAGGCGAAAACCAGGTAAACTTCAAAATAAAACAGCCAACTGCAGCAAACCAGAGTGGAGCCGTGTATAAAAGATAAGCTCAAGTGCACTTACCTCCAAAAGCCATGGTCTAAGCTTTCGATCCAGCAAAATATCAAAGCCAAGAAGCTCAAAACAAACACTTTCACTACCAGGAGGTGCACCAGGCCGGCACATACGGTAAGAGTGAAGAATGTGAGGTTGGGCAACTATTAATGTTTTTACAAGGACATCCTGTTAAAAGAAAAATCTGAATCTGAGACCTGTTTCTTAGTGAATGAATTCAGCTTAAATTAAAAATTAATCATAAATTTGCCTACTCTCAGCCAATCAATGAAGTTATTTTCCCAGACATACAATAAGTTAGGTAATTGCATTGTGCAATTAAGGATCTACTCTACAAGTAATATTTTGAAAATTTGCTCAAAATTGCATGAGCCTTTAGACAAGTTCAATTAGAAAAAAATTTGAAATATCACAATTAATGTAAATCTTACTAGAGGTTTCATATGACAACTTATTTATTATGAGACTGAGAAAATAACAAATGCATGTGCATTGATTTGCACTGCAAATGCAAAAATAACAATAAATTGGCCTGCTCTCAACCAGTCACAATGAAGTAGTTCTCTCACAAGTCAGTCAAACAATAAAGCATAAAACAGAGATCTTTGCTTTAACTGGTTAAGCCAATAGTTAAGTTTTTGAAAATTACATGTACTTTGCTGAAACTTACTGTTATGTTATGCCAAAGAAAATTTACATCATAATCCATAGACTGTAGCCATTCATTCAAAAACTTTATTGATCTAGAAAAACAATCCA